TTTAAAAATATATATTTTATCTTGGATAAGCAACACAAAATCTACTGTAAGATAATCTAAGTTCTGCATACTTTTCCCAGTGGTCCTGCACTATTGCTCTGCTTCTAGAGAAATAGAAGCCCTTTTTCATGCAACTCTAGTCTTTATAAGGCCTCTTGATCACTTGGCAAGCCCTAGTTTAGTAGAAAGTTCTAGAAAAATGGATTTAAAGTGTGATATTGATTTATCCTATTTATATATATTTTTGTAGAGATAGGATCTTGCTATGTTTCCCAGGCTGGTCTCAAACTCCTGGCCTCAAGCAATCCTCCTGCCTCGGCCTCCCAAAGTGCTGGGGATTACAGGTATAAGCCACTGTGCCTGGCCTATGAAAGAAACTGAATCACTTCCAGTGCAATAAAAGCCAACACTAACCTGTACTTTAACCATAGTTCTAAGAAATAAAATCTACTAGGCATCCATCAATTGTAGTAAGATTTTATTTTTGAAGTTGTCAAATGAAAAGATAAACCTATTAAATATCTTTTCTTTATATTATGACCTAAAATATGGGTGGGGTGAGAATTAATTCCTAAAGTATACTTTAAAAATAGTGTAATAGTCTACCTTCTTCCCTCTTTCACTTTATTTTTTATTGCAGCCTTGTGTGAAATCCATAAAATTGTTAAGGGGACTGGATAGTTTGTGCCAAAAAGGAAAAAAAAAGGTGCATTTGATTGCTTTCTTGAGAAATCTCTACCCTAAAATACTGCATTTTTTAGTTTGTAGGCAAAAGCAAGTTCTCACTAACCGTACATGCTCAGCACATTTAGGGCTTTATACTTACCTCTATTATCTATGCTCGGTTTTGCCTGATAAGCTGCTCAATTATTCCCAAGTAGAAACATATATGGCTTTTTCTTAGGAACAAAATAGCTCAGCAATGACTGCAGACCTCTGCTAAACAAATTGCCAATTGCTAAGCAATGGGGGAAAGTGTAAAGCAATCGCAAAACCCACAGCTCTAGTAGGATCTGACCTATCAGTCTGGGAGACTCCCTTTCTGATCTCTCATCCCCATCCCCGAAACTCCCGCTCTCTGCTGCCAACTTCTATGCTTCCTCCTTCCTCCCCGGCCTCTATGCAGCAAATCCACTTTTTTTTTTGTTTTTTTTATCTTTGCCATCGCCAAAGCTGTTTTCTCCAAAAATTATCTAGATCCTTCTATTCTTGGCCTTCAGGAAATAGGAAGAATAAAATTGGGGGGCGGAGGAAGGGGAAAAGGAGCTGTCAATTTTTAAAGCTTTAACTAGGTCTGCCTGGACCCCAGATGATTTAAACATTGAATATTAATCTACTTAGAGCCTTCGCTGATCAGAAATAAACTCAGCATAGCTATTGTCTTTCTCACATTCTATGTTCAGAGAAAAGGAACTGTCATTCAGGCAGGTTAAGAATTAAGTGCTTTATCTTTAGTTGAATACATACCTCACTGATGCATCATAATGCCCTGATCCCTACTTTATCTTATTTCCATTTCAGATTTATAATCAGGAAAGTGTCATTTCTAACCTCCAATTGGTCAGGGTACATACACTCACACAACTGTAGCACTTCTGTTTCAGTTTTTTTAAATTTTATTTCCAATAAATAAATAAAAATCTTAGATTTCTGAGTGTTTTTCCACCTTCTTATGTGGCGCTAAGCCATCACACTGCTTTTGAATCTGTTTCTTTTATCTGTCTGTGATAGATGGAATAATAGTCCCCCTCAAAGATATCCATGCCCTAATTTGCCGAACCTGTGACTATGTCATGGCAAAAGAGATTCTGTAGATGTGGTTAAGGTTCTTGAGATACGGAGGTTTTCCTGGATTATCCAGGTAGGCATGATGTAAACACAGAGGTCCTTATAAGTAAAAGAGTGAGAGAGAGACATTTGAAGATGTCACAATGCTGGCTTTCAAGGAGGAAGAGAAGGGGGCCAAAAGACAAGGGATGTGGGTGGCTTGTAAAAGCTATAAAAGGCTAATAAAGGAATTCCCGCCTAGACCTCCAAAAAGGAATGCAGCTCTGGTAACATCTTTATTTTGGTCCAGTGAGAATCATTTTGGATTGCTGCTCTACAGACCTGTACGATAAGAAGTTTCCGTTGTTTTAAGGCACTAGGCTTGTAGGAACTGTTACAGCAACAAGGGGAAATGACTACAGCATAACTATATCTACAACATGAATCTTATTTCACCATATTTTGGTGATGCTATATATTTATGTTTACAGTAATTTCTTTTTCCCATTCCTTGACATCTGGATATAGTTACCTCTGGGGAGATATGATAGAAACTGGGGCACCCAATTCCAAAATCCCTTAAAAAAATCATTGCCTACTGTAAGAACTATGTTTTGTTGTTGTTGTTTTTTAAGGAGAACTCAAAAGTATTTAACTGACCCTTTACCTGTTATTCTGAGGGGACTACTGGGACCTCTGGCCATGGTTCTTTAATTACACAGTTTCATGTTATCCTTCTTCTTCTTCCCCCTCCAGTTAAAATCTGCCTATTTTTGTGAGAAATACCTATTGCCTATTTTTGCGAGAAATACTATGCCCTTGTAGGCGTCACACTCCGTCTTAAACACAACCCAAGATATCACATCCTCTCTTTTGCCATTTGTACCGTGCACCTTACTTTCCTTCCAACATCTCCTCTTTCAACTGGACAGCACAGATATGCCCATCAATCCCCTAAATTGACAGTTTCTGACTTACAACTTCAAAGTCACTAGAAACACTTAGCAGGTTTCCCTAAAACTATTGTGCAGTCCCATGTGATTGAAACAGAGGGTACTTTGAGACTTGGAAAGCACTCAGGGACACTTCCTGTTTTTCTCCATAAAGATGGGCCATTTACACATGACAGTCTCTGTTTTCTTCCATGATGAGTCAGTAAACACCAGGCCAAGCCGCATCCTGCCTGGGCAGTGACAGAAGCCTTTCCTCTTATGAACATCTGCGTGTGCTTCTCAGTGTTCTGTCGATCGTGAGCTGATCCTGCTTCTCCGTGACCATCCTCCGCAGAGAGCCCCCCCCCCAACAGTCAGGCAGGGTTTTTCCTCCTCCTCTTTCTCCTCTGTGCCATCGTGTCACATTCACCAGCTTCCCAATATTGGCCCCAAGCTGCTCTTCCAGGGCACTGGGGCAGACCCTGCAGGGTCTACATTTCCTGGGTCTCATGAGTCCTTCCACCCCTTACCCTGATAACTATTCTCATCAACTGCCACAAAGACCCAGTATTCTTGCACCTGGATTGCAGCAGCGTCTTCTCTTTCTATATCTCTCTCGTCCTGGTTTCTGCTGCCTGTGGAGCGTCAGGGACCGACATGGAACTGGGGCCACAGACAGCACATCTCTGAGAGGCATACGACGAACGCTATTCCCCCAAACAATTTTCTTCCGTTTGAAAACAATTTTGATTACCTGTGTTGCTCTTTTGGTGTAAGACTTTAACCTAACAAGGAATTATCTGGCCAGTGTGGGAGAAATATGGCAGAATCACCCATTCCACTGGGACAGGAATGAACTTTTCTTAATTTGGTAAAAGCAGAGTTGGTGCTTGAGTTAAATGGGGGTCCCAGGTCAGGCCTTCCCTCTCATCTACACTGCCTGTCCCCAACCCTGGAGGGAGTCCCCAGTCACTGCGACAGAACTCCTAGGGCTCTGAGCAGCACAGTGTGAAAACCACCACAAGAAATATGTTTTCTCCAGGATGTGATCATGCTTTTATTGGGAGAAATCAGAAGGTTGAATTTTCCATGACAGTGTTTGAAGTGTTCTTTATTTAGAAAAGGGGAGGAACCCAGAAACATACCAAAAGTCTGCCAGCAAGAGAAAAAATAAATTAACTTTGATATGTTTGTTCAGTGGAATATTATATAAAAGTAAACAAGAATGAACTAGAGCTATATCTAGTAGCATGAAAAAATATAAAAGTATAATATTAAAAAAGCACACTAAAGAATGAATGACAATGTAATGTTATCACTTAAAGACAAAAAGATGAAAAAAATTGAAAGATAAAAATCATACATTTTCATAACTATGAAATAATCCATAATCTCTGAAAGTGGAAATTTCTATGAAGAATGTAAGACTATGCACAGGAGGACCTTGAGTGTACCTATGATGAATCTCTTAATAAAATATCTAAAGTAAATACATGATAATGTTAAGATTTGTTAATCATTTACCCACACTATGATCTGTTCTCATCTGTATGTTTAAAATGTTTTACAATAGAATAATGTAAAAAATTGCTTACTGTATTTGAAACCTCATTGCAAAGGAAATTATATACACATATATGCACTCATATGGAAAAACAATTCTTAATAGAATCTATTTTGATAAGTTTTTTACTTGGAGAGGCTTATGGAAACTTATCAAAATAAATTTTAAAATGAGGTTGGTACTAAGTCTATTATTTTCTTCAGAAAAAAACAGAAGATAACAAGAGGCAATGGAATTTAATAACAGATACTATGACAAAATCAATTTAAGTAACTGATCACTTGCTGTTGGGATGAAATAAAAAATGACAGTACACCAAAACTTTCATCCACTTTCAGAACACAAATCTATGGAAAACTTTTAAACACAAAAGAGACAAACAGAAAAAGGATAATTTAAATACCAGGAAGAATCTGTGAAGGGAAATGTTAAGTTTTATCGAACATTAAAAAGAAAGAGATCTAGAATAAGAAAAAAAGCACACTCCACACTACAACTAGCTGTGAATAGAATAAAAAAATCTAATCATTAGTTTTCACTCTTTCTAGATCCAGAGTTTTAGTAGCCATAGTTTTATATTTGACTACTAAGTAAATTTACCATCCAAATAAACAATGCTTTTTGAGAACGTCCTTTTTAATTTTTTGTTTTCAATTGCTTCTGCTGACTATTGACTATAAGAGGTAAATGATGGCTTTCTAGAGACACTGTTTAATCCAGGAGACTTGCAGGCCTACCTGGGTTGGTATAAAGCTGGCTTTCCACGGTTTTGCCGATGCACTGCAGTTTGATGGCCTGCAGGGAGTCATCCACGTGCATGATGGTCGGCAGACTGCCCAGAGTGTCCTGCACCAAGTTTGCCACTTCCCGGACATCAAAGAGCTTCAACAGTTCTGAGTACACGGCTGGGAAAGAACTCAGAAACACAGCCTTAAAAAGAAGGAGAAATTTAAATTGACTTCCAGGAATGCCATGACCAGTAAAGCTGTACAACGTCAGTGAGTTTAAGGACTGTGCTAGGTATTTTCGAATGGTATGAAGATGAATGTAAAATGTTTCTGTTACCTAAAGCTAAAAGGACAACAACAACAAAAAAAGTGTAGTAGAACAGGACAGTTTTTGAAAGGTAAAAAGGAACAACATAATAAAAACTGGGAAATTTCTGGAAAATCACTGACATTAGCAAGAGGATTGGCAAAACCCCCACAAAATCAGCAAAATGCATCATGATTCAACAAAAAGAATGGTCAAACCAGACCTGGATTGTTGTCATTTATATTTCATTATCCTTTGAAGGAGCTTTCTGAAATGCTCATTTAAATCTTATTTCTAAAAAAAAGAAAAACCAAACTCATTAATTCCCTAAAGCACTCCATTTATGATTTAAGAAAAAACACAGGACGGGGCATCAGAAGATCTAGGTTATATATAGTAATAGCTTTGCTTCTAATCAACTCTATGACCTTGGAGAGTTATTTTAGCACCCTTCAGTTTGATCATTTAGACTTTAGTTTCATCACTTGTAAAATGAAAAGATCATTAGAACAACCCCCTGAGTTGCTTCAAGATCTATTTTAAACCAAGGACTGTGTGTACAGACTAAGAACAATATTTTTTACGTAAATAAAAAGACGTGATAATCATTTTTTATGGGGAAAAAAAGATGCTAACCTCAAATCCCAAGGGGCTTAAAAATACTTTTAAAAAATGGGCTAGGATTATACATCAAAACAAACAAACAAATTCAGCCTTTTGAAATTCTATAGAAGGAGGGCACTGGAAGGAAGCGTTGACTTAGCCTCAACTGTACCTAGTGGGAGAAGGATGCACTTGTTTTTAATATGCTGAGATCCAAGTGCTGCAAGTGCTGGCTGGCTTACTGATGAGATCTGACACCATTGGAAAATAGGCTGCATCTACACATGCTGATGATTCAAACACAGAATCAAATTCAAATTTAAGGATTTTAGTATTTATTTAAATAGCAGCAGCAAAATTATGGAGAAGAGACAAGATTTGGATTTGAAGCCAGTGCCATTAAAATGCTTAAGGTGCTGTAATCAACAGCTATGCCCTTTGACTCCTAAAAATTATGGATTTACTTGAATATATTTAAAATTAATAACTTGATATTCTCTGTTAAAGACTGTATTTATGTAACCTTCATTTCACTCTGCAAAGAGCTGAGTCATACAGATCTAAGTTAAATTAAAAAAAAATTAAAAGGAGCCCAGCTTTCTGATTACTGAAGTCAACTAAGTAGATTTTCCTCAAGTACCCTCTTAATTTATCCATTATTTCTTTATCTATACTTCTTGACCAGGGGTCCTCACCTTTTTAAACAGGGGGCCAGTTCACTGTCCCTCAGACCATTGGAGGGCCAGACTATTGTTTAAAAAAAAACTATGAACAAATTCCTATGCACACTGCACATATCTTATTTTGAAGTAAAAAAACAAATGGGCAAAAACACCCTCATGTGGCCCGAGGGCTATAGTTTGAGGACAGCTGCTCTTGACTTTAAAAAACTATGTGAATGTGCCTTCAGTGTAAGATACATATTGAACAGGACTATTAAAAAGGATAAAAAAAACAAGGACCTTGTGATAAGGGCAGAATGACAGTTGTACCAGGGCAAACTAAGTGTTTTTACTGTAAGTAAAAATAAAGATATAATTTAGTTTTGACCTTCTGGGTAGCCAAGACAAATAAGGAAAGGCAATTAATAGGACTTCACAGCAGGGTCGTGGGCCTCTACTCCTTCTGTCATTCCTCTTCTTCTCCTGGGGACCCTGGGGTGTAGGTCTGTCCATGGCATGGAAAACCAAGAGCTATTGCTACACCAGCTGAGTTAGCCCTTAGTCCTTTCAGGACAGTGTCATTAGCAACTAGCATGAATAGCCAGCCATTGAATCAAACTGAAGGACTGCTAGGAGACAGGATTTGCCCTGAGTTGTAGCCCATATAGAAACAAAGCAAAATGGAGCAAGGAAACTGGGTTTCTATCTGTAAGGCAGCCTAATAATAAAACTCAGACCAACGGATATCCCCGGCTCTGGATGTGGTAGGCAGAATTCAAAGATGACTCCCATGACCTTTGTCTCCTCGTGCTGTTTCTGTGATTACCTTAAAATATGGAGATTATCCAAGTGGGCCTCACCTAAACATATGAACCCCTAAAACAGAATTTTCTGCAAGTGGCCTCTAGAAGATGAGAGTACAACCCCCCACCCCCTCCACCAACCCCACCCTGGCTGACAGCCACCAAGGAAACAGGAAACTTAATCTTATAAATGCAAAGAAATGTATTTCTGCCAATAGCATAAAAGATCTTGAAAGCAAATTTTTCTCCAGAGCATCCCTCTAGATAAGCCATCAAAAGCTTTGACACTTTGATTTTGACTTTAGGAGATCCCAAGCAAAGAACCCAACCAAGCCTACCTGGGCCTCTGATCTATAGAACTGCTAGCTAGCAAATGAGTGTTGTTCAAAGCCATTAAGCTTAAGGTCATTTGTTTTGCAGCAACAGAAAACTAAAACACTGGATCAATCAAATTAGTGACTCTTGGCTTCTCTAAAGAAAGATACAGGATCAAAAGAGAACCTGGGATGAGAAGAGGTGAGTAGCAGTTTCCTTCCTCCCAAAATGTAGAGGGACAAAGCTCTTATTGCTTAATAAAAAAAATCAAACACTATATCATTTTATATAAATTTTTCTTAGCATCAAACTAAAAAACCACATCAAAATTTATAAGGAATACTGTACAAAATAATAGAGAATGATCTCAGTACAGTTTGCAAAGATATTCAGAAACTTTTATGTATACATTTTATATACTATCTCTTGATTGATCAGGGGCCAAAAAAAAAAATCGAGTATGATTCTTTGAAGGTGCTAAAGTTGTTTCTCAGACTTGACTGCAGAATAGAAGCTAGAGACCCAGAGCAGTGGAAGTCAATACACTGAAGGGACAGAAGTTGAGGTGCCCCACCCCCCTGGACCACAGTGGTGGCCAAGTCCAGTTAGGGGGACAGCTAGGATTCAGTGGAAATGCAACTAAGGTAAAGAAATAGTTCTCTAACTTTAAAGGAGGAAAATTCTTGAATCCCTAGGAAGTGAGAAACTGGTTACTCTTATGAGTAAGAAAACATTTTTCAGGGGTGAATTAGAAAAGTTCTGTCCCTGTAACTGATAAAGGTTAAAAAGTAAAATCTCAGGATGAAACTCAGATTTTGAATCCCTTTTATAGAAATATTAAACTTCCATGAACGTGGATCTAATGGAATACATGGTAAGGCTGTTGGATTATTCTTTTCAAATATCAACTGCTATAAGTAGGGTTTGGCTAGTGGGCAATTTGATATCAAGGTCTCTGGCAAATTCCTAAAGTGCAGTGATTGTACTGTTGACTATAAAGGCCAAAATGACATTTAAAAAGCCTGAATTGTATCCCTGCCCCGAAGGAAGATGAGTCTACCTCTGCAATGAAGAGTCATAAGAACAGCCCCCTAAACAGGCAGAAAAATACAGCACTATTGCTGGGGTGTCGGTGCATTTCTGGTGTTTTGCCATTATATATTATGCCTTCTGAATGTCGCATGGCACCAAATTATAACAACAATGCTAAAGATCTAGTTTTGTCTTCCAATCTCCCATTTTATGTCCTAGTTTTCAATGATTATAAATCTCTAGTCTACAGGGTATGGTAAGAGGCTGCTTATCCTTCTAATAGATTTTTTTAACCAAGTCATTAGAATTAAAAGTACATAAAAAAGAATTAAGAAAATAAAGAGAAAGATACTGAGAATTATCTCATGGAACACGTTCAAGGCCATGCTATTTGGAAAGTAGATGGATCTTGTTCTTAAAAGTCACGTGGGGCTACTCCCGGTAATAGAATTTGGCAGCAGCAGCAGCTCAGCATTGATCTTATAAGATCAGTCCCAGGATAATTAGGGTCCAGTTAAATAAAACAAAACAACATGCAGTTTAGCTGAGTACAATACAATGATTCTCAAGCTAATAGAGGGCGGCGCACAGGGGCTGACGCCTATAATCCTAGCACTCTGGGAGGCCGAGGCAGGAGGATGGCTTGAGGTCAGGAGTTCAAGAACAGCCTGAGCAAAAAGGAGACCCTGTCTCTACTAAAAATAGAAAAATTAGCCAGGAATGGTGGCGCACACCTGTAGTCTCAGCTCCTCAGGAAGCTGAGGCAGGAGGCTCACTAGAGCCCAGGAGTTTGAGATTGCAGTGAGCTATGATGACACCCTTGCACCCTAGCCAGGGCAACAGAACAAGGTTCTGTCTCATAAAAAGAAAAAAAAATGCAATGAAAGGCTTGGGGAAAAGAACTGTCAAAGATAGTGAAATTCCTTCCCTAAGGCCAAATGTGACAGCACGTGGCATCAGCAGTACACATTCTGGTAACTGGAAATGAGGCTGATACAAACCAACCAACTCTTCAGGCAGAGAGGAGAGTGTGAGGAAAGACAATCCACTTCTGCCCGGCTTGGTGCTCAGAAGCTGGGGGATTTTTAAAATTCTACTCAAAAAGTTGGTTAAGCCACAAATGTAACTGGAGATAGGGATTTCTGATGTAGGAAACGTTCAATTATACTGCTGTGTAAAAATAAATGAATGGCACTCATATTTCTCTTCTATTCAGCGCAGATGAAAAAAAAAAATTACCTGTGACTGAGACAGCGCTCTAGACCCTTTGCTCTCTTGGGAAAGGAAGAAACGGACCGACATAAGGAGCTCCTGGATGCAGCAGCGGAATTCGTCTTCGTTCTGCCCACCCGTGGCAAGGGAAAACAGCCTTCGAGATTGAACTATATACTTAAAAATGTATTCCTGTGCCTTAAAAGGAAAATTTGAAAGTTACTTTCAAAGGAGACCAAGAGTATTTATTTAACAACAATGCAACATAAAAACCACTGTATAGCATTAGACTTTTAAATTATTGATTTAAACATTAAGGCCCTGTGAGATTTTTGAACAGTATTTACTTGTAGGGGGAGGAGCCATTTTTCTCTGATGCCTAATTAGAGAGATGTATAGAAAAGTGAAAAAATACTTTCTATTTCTGCAGCATTATGAACACTAAATGTTTTTGATCCTTAGATTTTTTTAAATTTATTTAATAAAGAGATAACTGTTTTATTTAAAATAATTTTACATTGGTAGGTGCTCTTGCCACTTAGCATTTTACCTTCTATTGGACAAAAATGATAAATTTATAATTAACAAAATGCTGTTTTATAAAATTCATTATCTATTCCTATCGACTGATCCCACCAAATGGGATGGTACTTAACAATAGGAATCAGAAGAGTACCAGGGCTGCTACTGGAAAATCCCTTTGATAATTTGTATTATTGCTGAATAAGTTTGCAAGTAAGGTATTAGCATCACCATAGAAGCTATAGTCCCAGAGATGTGGGCAGTGTTAAACCAAGATACCCAGTAACACCTCAGGTTTCCTTGTTATGATCCCTGTTAAGCCACCCTATTTGCTCTTAAAATTTAACATAAATGGTTCTCAGATGGTCTCTGTCAGGTTGGTAGAGGTAATAACCAGGAACTTAAGCTTCGCTGCCCATCTGTAGCCTCCTCTCATAAACCCTCCCACTTTCCTGCTAATCCTAGATTCCACTTCAGGTGTTCTGGAGTTCGGAGGAGCAAGGATGCAATCCCAACTGGGTCCCAGTGGATGAGCCTGGCAAAGTCCCTTTCAAAATTTCATCAGCTCTGGAGCAGCCATAAACTGCTTAAAATCCTTGAATTGGAATGTCAGCAATGTATCATCACCAATTACTGCCTGTGTAGAGGAAACCAATTAGCCTAAGAATCGGCATGCAACAGCTTTGTTAGACTCCGCTGTCTGTTATCAACAGCATGTCCTCACCTTCAGCACCTCCTGGATATGCTCTTGCCGCTCTGCTTCTGTGATCCTGTCCACATACCACTTGAGCACTTTGATGAGATCTCTAAAAAAACCAGGGAGAAACGTGCAGAGTGTAGAATTGGTCTAAACCTCAATTAAATGCCAACAAATCCAACACTTATTTGTATCAAGTAGCTTTTTTTCCCATCAGTTCTTGTATTTTCTTATCAAATTGCTACATAATAATTTTACTAAATCTGCAGATCAACATCACCGCCCCTTTTGAAGCTCAAGAGAGAAGTGACACTCAATCTGGACACATCCCATTGCCCTGCTATTATTCCTGGCAATGCTTCCAAATGGGCAAACATGAATACTGGAAAAAAGGACTCTGGTCAAGCCAGTACCTGGAAATATGACTGTCACGGACAGCCATGGACAATTGCTAATTGGGATTTCTTCCTCAGTGACCAGGTAAACAGCTGAGTGAAATATTCAGCTGGAGGCAAAAAAGGGGCATGGGGAGGGGTGAAGGCAACACCTCTCCACTGCAAGTCACACCCCATGGATTTATCAAGCCAATTCTCTGACCTGTGAGAAGAGCAAGACTTACTGTCAAAGTGTGTCTTGGAAGAATAATTTCTAGAAGAGCCAAGGGCTTTTTGTTTGTTTAAAGAAACAAAAATTTAAACCAACAATAACAACCCACAACTCTCAGAATTACAGTTTTGCCACCTTAAACTTTGGTCAGTTCTTAGTTTCTAGGGAACAGTTCACACAGCAATTCTTCTCTTGGCCACGGTTGAGATTTGGATGTGCCAGTAGGTAGATGCTTTGGGGAGCACTATTTTTAAGATGATATGTCAGTTAGTTTCTGACCACCCACAGTCTGAGAGGATTCCACAAGCCATATTTATCTTTTTAGGAGTGATGATCCTGCTTTTCTGGCCAATCTGAAGTGTTAGAATTTACACTCTTGTTCTCTAGCTTTCAGGGACAATTTCAGTTGCAAGCAGTGACCACATCATGCTAGGACTCAAATTGTGAGGCCAAGTGGGCCAACATTTCAAAACTCTTCCTGCTGTTACAGTTCCCTTGGCAAAAAATTATGCTGATGGAGTGTCTAGTCTTACAAAAATACCTTCATTTATTCTTTTTTTTTTTTTTGAGACAGGGTCTCACTTTGTTGCCCAGGCTAGAGTGAGTGTCGTGGTGTCAGCCTAGCTCACAGCAACCTCAAACTCCTGGGCTCAAGCAATCCTACTGCCTCAACCTCCCTAGTAGCTGGGACTACAGGCATGTGCCACCATGCCCGGCTAATTTTTTCTATATATATTAGTTGGCCAATTAATTTCTTTCTATTTATAGTAGAGACAGGGTCTCGCTCTTGCTTAGGCTGGTTTCGAACTTCTGACCTCGAGCAATCCACCCGCCTCGGCCACCCAGAGTGCTAGGATTACAGGTGTGAGCCACCGCGCCCGGCCCACCTTCATTTATTCTTAACATGCCATGGTCAGGAATACCCAAGTTAACATGATCAAATGCTTATTGGATTACCTATTATCCTTTATATATCACATAGATGGGGGAAAAGAGGTTTAAAAAAGCTGTTTCCCACTTCTTTTAAATCACCTCTGGGAACAGATGATATTGCACATGCACAGGTGCTTAAGGAATAAGGTAGAAATGAAGGAGAACAGCAATGGCAGCATTGGACCACAGGCATAGAACACTGGGGAACATTCTAGGGCTATTTAAGCAGGGCCAAAGACTGGGAAGGAGAGAAGCTATTGCCTTCTGGCCATTATGGACTGGGCTGTGCGGAGGCAGGCAGGCAGGCTAAAGCATGACATTTATTCACTCCCTCTCAGCCTCACTTGCACCATCTGAGCTAGTCGGAAAGGAGGGGCAGTCAAAAATGGAAGCTCCTACCAAAGGGTCTAATGACGGAATTGCTTGAGGCCAGGGACCAGGTCTTCAGTTATCAGCACAAAGTATAGCACCTGGCATGCAGCAGGCCCTCAGTAAATCTTAACTAATGAATGACTTTCAACAGGTAAGAAGGCAAAGGTTGTTTTCCATTGGTATTTCTTTCTTAAAGACATCTAGAATTGTCAAGGAGTGCAGTGATTAAATGGGGATGTTGATAGCCAAAGTGAAGTAACCAGACATTTTAGACCAAGTGAAACAGAAACAGGAAGAAAAAACTTTATATTTTAGGTCTTAGGAATAGAATTCAGCAAGTTCTTTTTTTCCTCTTTTTAATCAAAATAAATTCTAGCCACTATAAAAGGAAGTGTGAGGAGAGAAGAGACTGTCTCAAGAGACACTTCAGTTGTTGTGCTTCATTTCTTCCTACACTCCCTTTTAAATTTTCCCATATAGCTGGCTCTGCTGAGAAACAGCTCAAAAGGAACCGCTTCTAAAGCAATTACAAGATAAAGGGCCTTACCTGTATGCAAGTGCCCCAGCAAAGTGACTCTCAATGTAAGTGTCCATTACGGGTTTAAAATGATGAAATTTGCTATCTTGCAGCAAATTTATTATGTGAACCTAAAAAAGAAAATTGAGCTTTATAAAACCAAATGCAAACCAAGATTTTTGGGGGTGTTCTTTTTAAAATGAACTCTTACATTATTAAGTGCCTACTTCTGAAATAGCCTCATGAAAGTCAAGATTGAGAGACAAATTGTTAAAACATAATTAAGTGAATTTGAACTTACCAAAGAATCAAACACTTTAGACCCATATTTTTGTGAATTTTCATCTAAAATTCCAAATAAGGTATCCAGAGTATCCTGCAGAAACTGTTAAAGAAGTGGTAAATGAATGAATAAAATACTATTTGTCCTTCCCCTCCAAATGCTCTTTATCCTATAAATTTCTGGGAGGAAAACAGTAACAAAATAGTATATACCTTTACTATCTCTGAGCCATCGATTTCTTTTAATTTAGAGAGACAGCCAGTGATCTTGTCTGGGTGGGTTCTCCATTTCAAAAGATCAAGCATATCACCTTTCCAAACAGAAAGGAAGATTAATTGCCTTAATAGAGAATAGTCCCAACATGAAAGTGTTCTACTGGTAAAAGTTGAATTCTTGAACATGTGGCTCACCCCTCCTGGACACTCTAGTTGCAGGCTCCCACAGAATATGCCCAGTCCTCTCTGAGATGGCATGTATTCCAGTACCTTCTAATGATTTCTTCCCTCCCATTGCTCTTGGCCTATATAAACTCCCAGTCATTCTTTAGTTCTCAGATTAGATGTTGCTTTATCCAAGAAGCGTTTCCCAAAGTCCTGAGCTAACTGTCCTTTCTATGTGCTCATACATCACAGTAGCACTTATCTTACCATTACAGCTGTTTATTTGTCTACACCCCAACTAGACTGTAAACTCCAAGAAGAAAAAAAAAAAAACCATGCTGAGCTTGGCACTATTGAATTTCTAGCACTAAGAACAGATTAGGCAGTTGACAAATATTTGTTGAATAATTTTCTGCCTCCTCCTGGTATGATGAGATTTTTCTGGAGGGCTGAGAGCCTGCTTTATTCATGTTTGGACTCCCAGCACACAGTACTCTGCCTAGCAACCAATCCCACCCAGCAAAGATTCTCTTGACAAAGAGACCCAAACTTGGTGGACTAAAAGGTCCCTGCACAATGATAGGAATCCTAGTGATTTGTCAGATCATCTAGGGAGCTCTTGGACTGACAGTGGCATCCTGGACTCCATGGGCCATCTTCCATCCAAGATTCTAGGCAAGCTCTTCATTTTCCTCCTTTTCCTAAACTGACATGTGGGCTCTTGAGTCCAATGGGTCCTCTTATAACCTCTTCATCTGGGGAAGGAATAAATTCTTCCTTTATCTTTCTTGGGCAGAAGTTGGAAAGGCTCTGGAAGATGGTGTCCAAGCTTCATAAGTCCCTAAAGCTAGCAGGGAGACTTGGCATCTGGAGGCCAGTGAGGGCAGTGAGAACTGACAAGGTTCATGCACGCAGGGCATGCACAGGGCCGTGGGACCCGCTAGCACTGGCCTCAGGGTCATGGGGCTGACAGACTAGACTGGCCAATTGAGAAGCCAGGATGACTTTTCCAGGTGGAATAGTGAGAAATGTACTTCAAAGCGCTTGCTTCAGGAGAAACCTGAATGGGACTTGCTGAGAAACAGACAAACCAAGAAGGAAACAAAAAACCTGGGAAATCAAGGAAGCAGTTAAGATGAGAAAGAAAATAGGACACAGTGAACAGAAATGAAAAAAGCAGAGGAATCCAAGAGGAAAGGAAGCGAGCTCCACCAAAGCCAGATTCAAGAGAAAAACTTCACAAAGGACTTAATAGTAAGAAATTAAATGCTAAATAGGAATGCTTATCTATAACGAACAGGGATAAGAGGAGGAGGACTTAGAATGAGAAATACGAAGGAATTTTTAAAATACTGACTTTGAAAGAGAGATTTATGATGTTTTCATAACCAAAAATCCCTGAAAGTGTTTAATATTCATATGTAACTCAGACATCCTGGGGGTAAGATTGAAACCTTTTAAAAACTGATTGGTTATATTTGGCATATCAGATATTTCCACAGAGTGGGCCCGGTGGGACCCAGGCAGGGCTCTATTGTTCTCTCCCCGTTTGCTGCCTCCCTCCCACCTACTTCCTGCTTCCTGCATCTAACTTCAGGAGGCCTCCCCTCCCTGGCATCTTCTCTTTTATAATCCCCCAGTGCATTTTCAACCCTGCCATTCACTCTCACCTCCTACTCCGCCCCCATCCAGCTCTCACTTCTCCTTGCTCTCTTCCTCTGCCTTTAAAGTGAAGCAGTTGCAAGGGCGTTCGGGGCCCTGCTCGATATAAGGAGTGGGGTGGGGCAGGGAGTGGCTCTGCTGGCCCCAAAGTGGCAGCACCAGAGGCAGCAGTGGGGAACCGGGACCAGGGCCCACACGAGCACAGCTGGAAAACGATCACAGTGGTTCAGACAGTCAGATCAGGATGAGGCTATTCATCTTTCCTGCAAGAAGGCTGACAAATCTCTAGACTGCTCGACATGGAGCACATGGAAGAGTAAAGCAGTTATGTGTGTCTGGATGTAATTAGTCATATATGCAAAGTACTCAGAGTCAACACGAAACTGCCATCTCCTAAGTCTCTGTTGCAGCCATTGGAAAATATTTTAGCTGCAAATTAGAAGCTATGACCTACCATTGAAAATATGGATTTTCTATATTCCATTTAACAAGCATTTATTACATGTATTTTATGTGGCCAATCTACTAAGAGCTATAAAATTGGAGGATGACATGACCTCTACTACTAAGCAGCTTAGAATCTCTACTTGATCCAGCAGTCAGAGATGCCTAGCACAGTGCTTGGCCTTGGTACGCTACCCATGAACAATGTAGGGTAACGGACAGAGTGTGCAGACAGACACACTTCAGGAATCCTGCAATGCAAATCTGCTCTAGGAAGCTGTTCCTAGAGACCATATCACTTACTAAACGCTCAGCTGTAGTGGAAATAGGATTTGTATATTTTCCAAGTCAAGTAAAACGAACACATAGCAATTTAATTCCAATTTGGAACTGGATTACTTCTACACAGAGATGTGTCTAGCATGTAAATTTCAGAAAGACCAACTAACTTCCTTCCTCCTTCCCATCTCTGGAAACATGCTATTCATTTCCTGGCTCATTTTGAGTAGTCTTACAATGACAAGGTTAATCAAAGACAAAATGATAATTAAGCACTTATCAGTCTACAGAAATGAGCCAGGCATCACATGGAATTCTGATCCCACCTTCCATATAGTGAGATGCGTAGTATAATGATTTCATAAATAGTTTATATACCCATATTTACCTAAAAACGTTCTCTGCCTTTAAAAGGTAGCAACTTCTAGTTTTCAGGATTTGGTTTTTTCCATCTTATGCTAGTAATTCTAACACCTTAAACCCTAGAACTAAACAGGGTGCGGGGCCAAATATTTTGATGGGAACGAATCCACTGTGAGGTTTACAAGTGTGGGAGGCAGAATAATGCCCTCAAAGATGTCTACATATCTTTGGACCTGTAAATCCATTTACCTTACATGGCAAAAGAGATTTTACAGATCTGATTAAAGATCTTAAACTAGGGAGATTATACTGGATTATCTAGCCCAATGTAATCACAGGATCCTTAAAAGATGTAAGGAGATCAGAGTCAGAGAGATTTGAAGATACTATACTGCCGGCTTTGAAGACGGAAGAAGAGGCTGTAGAAAAGGTAAGAGAAAAGATTCTTCCCAGAGCATCCAGAAGGAATGAAACCCTGCTAATGCTTTGATTTTAGCCCAGTGAAACTCATTTTGGACTTCTGACCCCAGAATTATATGATAATAAATCCATGTTGTTTTAAGCCAATAAGTTTGTGGTAATTGTTACAGTAGTAATAGATAATGAATACAATCCCAAAATATTCTACAGGGGACATTCAGTTAAATGTGATTGAAAACTCTACAACAGACATACAACTAATCCACACAGGATGAATGAAAGTTCATTCATAAGGGAGTCAATAATGGGTTGATTTTATTATCTTTATAACTTCCATGGGATTAGATTGGCCCCATAAAAATACCTGAGGTTTAGTAAATGCTTTATGATCATTTAGAGTTATGTCAATGGAAGTTTTATTTAAGTAAAATCATTAGCTCACTGAATACAGATAAAGCTTGGTATAATTTGTCATATCTTAACTTGGTGTCCTATATAAACAGAGCAGCATTTCATGTTGAAATTGAGAGGTATTTTAAAATTGGTCAATACTGTAAATGCTACATTTTGCTGCTTTTCAGATACTATAGAACAGAAGAAATGTGTTGTCTTCTACAGATGCTGTTCTCTGACACAGAAGGAGGAATTAAGAAAGAACTAATAACTAATAACTACACATGTTTGGGCATAGGAGGTTTTTACCAGAGAGAATACCTTATTATGAAGTGATTCTTTTCAACATACTGAATCTAACACAACATTCAGGATGCTAGCCAAAAGCCTTACACGACAACCATGAAGAACTCAAAAATGTTTAATTTACTTCCTTCATTACAGATGATGTTTTCATAGCAATTTGCCGAGAAGAGCTTACTTTATTAATCATAACTTGCTAACAATCACTGACATAAAAAGTAATGCTAGAACAGAAAAGCAATATGCATCTAATTAAACAAAAAACAGCCTTTATTCTAAAGCCTGCAATTAGCACTGTTTATGGAGCTATAAAACAAGAGATTAAGGTGGTGGTATTTCTCTCTCTCTCTCTCTCTTTTTTTTTTAAAGCAGCTGGGTTTTAATGGTTTCTTTGGAGAGTTATGTACTTGGTTTCCAACACTGGGATCATTTTGAAATCTTTCTTAAATTACATGCATTCAATAGAGCATTGGGTCAGATTTGTTTACATTTTCTTGGAAATCAAAACAGAACGATCAATAATTTTTTAGTGTTAAAGTTCTTAAATATAACTTTGGTGTTTACTAAACATGCTTACCAAAATTCACACAAGTACTCCGACATAAGGGCTTTCAAATAAAATAGTATTTATACGTTACCGTTTTGTGTGAGTTTTGTGGAACAGAGAAAAGATGTTATCCAAAAAGACTCCTTTGTGGCCTTCATGGCTTGATTATTATTCCCAAGGAAAATGCCCTTGGAAAAGGGAAGTTTGAGGTAGCGGGTAGTATCCTGAAGGTTTGTGTTTTCTTCACACTGTTAAAAATATTTAAAAAAATAAAAGGGAAGAGGGAAGAGACCTCCTAAGAATTATTAAGCATAATTTCCATTTCTAGTGTTTATGAATTGGGAAATATTCCAAACAACAAGCATTACAAATAGAATTTGGCTTTTAAGTAAAATGAAGCAAAAATTCATAAAAAGAATTAAGCATGGATTTTTGGACTCAGAGAAATTTGAGTTTGAATCCCAACTCTGTCACTTCCCATGTGAGTGACTGTGTCAAGTTATTTAACCACTTGGGGTTTCCGTTGACATTCTCCAAAACCTCATTGTGTTGTCGTAAGAATTAGATTACATAAAATCTTTAACACAGTCCCTGATACAGTGGAAATGCTCAAGAAATTATACATCTTTAACATATACAGCTGGTATAGCTTAGATTATTTTAAGTGTGAATTTGAATTCATATAAAGCATTTTTTAAAAACATAAATTCTTCCAACATTTCATCTGAAGCAGCTGTTAAACAGTTTTTTTACTTTGAAAACTGGCAATTAAAGGAAATGGTATTTCAGGTAATCTAATAGTCCCACTATATGGAGGAAATCTCTGCTTCACAGAAAATGCCAAATAATAAACGTAAAAGGAATTATAGACTTAGAAAACACAATTTCATATGCCTACTGTAATTATTTTAGTCAAGCATTGTCACTGAGTGCTAAAACCAGCAGGATTGTTGATAAGGAATTGTATGTTCACACGATCACAATGTAGCAGCACACACATTACTACCCAGAGGTAAGAAAACAAAAACAACTGCAAGTGAGGGGGGATCAGGTTGTCATCACACCAACGCAGGGTGATGCAAAGACGTCATCCCTTACAATGCGTTCCTACCAAAGATGTGGACCTTGACTCCATCACATCTACATTTCAACTTCCACATGTGGGAAACATAAGAGATACAGCAACATTTTGAACAACACCTCAGGGAAGCAACCAGACAAATCTAAAAGATGGGGCTTTCTTCTGCAGGATGCCTGGCCTTGTCTCTTCAAGTCAGTGTTGTCAAAAAAGGGATTGTTCTAGATTAAACAACATTTAAAATATAGATAGCCAGATGCAACACATGGTCCTGATGACTGGGCCAATTTTTTTTTTTTAATTTATACATTGACTAAGTTCTAGATGAGACAAAAATTTAGTGATTGGAAAATTGTTACCTGAGAAAAGATAGACTAAAAATAAATACATATTACATGATATCATTTGGGTAAAAAAATCCATAAGGAACATCTGGAAGGATATACACTAAGGAACTAATAGTTACCATCATCTGGGTAATGAGAATATGATGTTTTTATTTTATTTTGGTTTATCTGGGTACTACTTTTGTAATGACAATTATAAATCTTTAGGAAAGACCTCTCTAACAAGTTTAGAGAAATAGAATCAGAAGATTACAAGAGGTTCTTACTACCACGCCTGCCTCGTAACAAAAATACCAATATAAATACCATAAACAGCCTTCATGTAAGATACTGGGCTATAAAGACAATAGACACCTTCCAACTTCTGTTTACTGCTTGTTTGCTAACCGCAAGGAATTATGAGTATATTATGGGATGCAGAAGAAAAAGACAAAGAGAGCAAAAACCTGAGTCTCTCAGCTAGAACCCAGAACAGGTTAGGGCCTATCAGGGGCAGGCTGAAGTAAAAATCACTGTGGGGGCAGATGCATGACCAGTGTATAAACAACTAAGTTATAAAAAGGGGACTAACACACAAAGGAGGGTCCCTGCCCAGAAAAGAGGCCACTGCGCTGGCACTCTGGGGGCTCAGACCCTAGCTCGAGCTAGACAATAAAACTCCTTTTGATAATTACAGCCTCAGTGACTCTGTCTCTCTGCCCTTCAGCCTTATAAATCTCAAATACAACATTCATAATTCTCTTTTAACATTGCAATTCCAAATGCTTTCTTTTAGTTCTGTAAAATATTTTATATAGACAGAAGTACGCATAAAACACAGATATATAGTTTAAATTAATTAAACTATTAATTATTTATAAAGTGAACCTCTCAAAGGCTTTCTTCAGAGAAAGTGCTTAGGCAAAGTAATGTTCTGGAACCCTGGATCACAGCCCCCGCCCCTCAGTCTTGTCCCTGGCATGTCAAAGCATAAGTTACAGCACCAGAGATTCACCCTATCCCCTGCCTGGATCAGGTGTACGGGGTTAGGAACATGCTCTGGTCTTCCATCCTGTCCTGACTCGTGCTCCATATGTCTAACCACCACTTCCTATCGTGACTGAAGTCTCACGCCAAACCCAGCCCAGACACTCTGTCCAGATATTACAGGCTTCCTCCCCAAAAGCTGGAACCTGCCTTGGTCTGATATGGTCCGTCTATTCACAGAAATTCTGCCCCTACAAATATATCTCTTATCACCTCTCCTCCCAACCAACTAGCTGCCTGGCTCTTGAGCACTTGTGGCAGCCTCTTGGAATTCCTGCTTGATACCCTCATCTAGCTCTACTGGTTGCCAGGGGACTGACCACCTCTGTGAGTGAGAACGTGATGGCTGTGTCATGTCCTTAGGGCCTCTGTGAATAGAAGACTTAGCTGCTTTCTCCTGAGCCAGGTCAGTTCCACCAACGCTGGTTCTCATTTCTGCCCCTGCTTCAGCATCTGAGTCTGTCTGGGGCATGACAACTTCGCAGCTTCTCACAGCTAAACTCTATCACATTTACTCAAGTATAAAATATAATTAATATAACAATATTCTAGACACAACAGTTATTTCAAAACCTTCCACCAAGAACACTGGTGTGTGTGTGTGTGTGTGTGTGTGTGTGTGTGTGTGTGTGTGCGTGCGTGCGTGTGTGAGAGAGAGAGAGAGAGAGAGAGAGAGAGAGAGAGAGAGAGAGAAGAAGGAGGGGGAGGGGAGGGGAGGGGAGGAGAGGGGAGAAAGAGAGAATTCTGTCCATCAATTCAGTATAGAAAAGCATGTTACCACTCTTTGGTCTCTATGAATCCTTTAATATAATATTTACCAGGGATTCAAAACTGATTTTTTTCCCAATAGGATTATCCTGGGTATAAAGTTAAAGTTAGACATTTTAATCTATTATTGAAAATTTTAAGAAATTACACAGAAAATCTTATAGCATATCTTTTATTGTTCTTTGAGGTTTCCAGCATGTATCCTTAGCAAATCACAGGAATGCTGGAGATTTTAAAAGCAATCCAAGCAACTACCATTTATGAGGACTTACTATATGTTAGGCACTGCTAAGCACTTTGCATGCATTTTCTTCTCATAACAACCCTACGAGGTGGGGGCGGGATATTGTATCCTAAGGAGCTTATGTGATTTGCCTAACGTCACAATATTAGTAAGTGTCAGAGCCAGGGTTTGAACCAAAGTTTGTATTCACAACTGCTATAGAGCATTACCTCCCTCTACTGTCGTTTTAACCAAGTTTTGAATTTTGCTGGAATGAATTTAAAATTTACTGATTTATAGAGTATGGCTAAGAAAGACCAAAAAAAGTTCCCTTTTCAAAACAAAGGTGTGTTTGCAGGAGACACCCTGAGAGAGGGCTCGGAGTGGTGTGTGAAGCTAAAATAATTTCAAATGAAATAAGCTTATGAGTCTCACAGCAAAATGGCTAGTTTATGTTCTCAAACCACACAGGCAGCAAAAGAGACCATGAGACTTGGATGCAAAAGTGAGGAGGGCAGGTAGGAGCAGGTGAGGCATGACCCAGGAGCTTAGAAACATACACACGAGCTAGAGAGCATTCATTCTTCCATTTGATGAGAGAGAATCTATGTAGGAGATACGGGCTTCAAGAGCAGTGAAGAACAGAAGTGGGGCTCCAAAAGGCAGCCCTCCAAGGCAGGAGCAGTTGTCAGCTAGAGTTTAAGCCAAAAAGGTCAAGCAGCCTCCTAATACTAGCAGAAGGCAGGGAGTAAGGGAGAATCAGCAGTAAATTCCCCGGGCATTCTTCAGCGAGGTGGGAGAAGGGTCTGTAATGGGAGTGAGGTTCTAAACCAGAGTGTGCACCACAGATAACAAATGGGAATGAACAGTCTTCCCACTAGGGAAAGGGATAAGAGTCAATGAAGCCACAGAAATGAGGCTGGGAGAGTGTGGTTTGGCACTGCTTGTGCTTAAACTGGAAATATCAAGTGCAACAGAGTAGTGGCTGGGTGTTTGAATGCCTGTGAATCTGAGTGGTATAGGCTTAGTAGCAACAAACTGCAGCTGTGAGATTCTTCCACTGCGTGTAGTTGAGAGATGCCTTTGTCATCGTGGTAAAATCCAGTTATACCCCTAACCTGGAGGCGGTGGTTAAATATGGATCACTTGCATTCTGAGGAACACCTGTAAAACAACTCTTTTGGCTTTGGCATAGAGAATATTTTTTCCATCAAACCCAATGTAGGCATGGACCAAGGCATTATGGGATAGAGAATTAGAAGACACTGCCCTCCCCACTAGAAAACTCGTCTCTTGTGGGAGACACAAACACAGGTGAAGTGTTACAGTACATGCATGATGGCAGATTGACAAGGGAAGGATTCATGGAGCCGTTCTTGAGGCTGCTACTGGCTTGGGGGAACCAAACTGTATCACTGTCGTAGTGAAGGACAGTTCTCTGTGTTTGCTTTGATATGGGTTGGGATCTGTGAAAGTCATCTTAAAATGGCATGGAGTTAGCTGACTACAAATTAGAGAGAAGGAAGATGAGAACCAGCCCCCTGCTTTACCACACTTGTGTGTGAAATCAGTTCTGACCAGAGATGTGCTCCCTCAGACTTGCAAAGAAGCACTAAAAATGCAGGCTTTGCCATGGCAGCAGTAGTCTCCATCTTCTTTGAGATTGTATAGCTTGGCTCATGGTCTATTTCTTTCCCCAGAATAAAAATCAGTTGGTATAACAATGAATGGTGCATTATGTCCCAGACTACATTTTGACCACTGTCTCAGCCATGTGAAAGAACTATGGTGGTCAGCCATGAGCTG